AGGCTTAACGTGAGCAGTCTCTGAAATGGCGGCCATGTCATGACGAAACTCTGGAAGATCAGCTGAGACGTGACGAGACTCTAAAAGGGCGGCCATTTTGTGAAGAGACTCTTGTGTGGCGGCCATCTTGCAATGAAGCTCTTGAATGGCGGCCATGTTCTGAAGAATCTCTTGAGTGACTGGCATGATGTGAGCAGGCTCTGGCTTGGCAGACTTGACGTGAAGAGGACTTGGCGTAGCAGACATGACGGGAGCAGGCTCTGGTTTGGCAGACGTGATGTGAGCGGGCTTCTGGGAAGTGTCATGTTCCTTCTCCATGACACCCACAGCATATTACTAATGTTTATAACTCATGAATAAATGGTTCACAGGAGTTCACTTTACATTAAGGTTCACTTTCACAGGTTAATGATGTTTATAACTCATTAATTAATGTTTCACAGGTGTTCTCTTGACATTAAGGTGCACTTTCACAGGTTACTAACATTTATAACTTATTAATAAATGGTACACAGGTGTTCACAATACATTAAGGTTCACTTCCACAGGTTATTAACATCTATAATTTATGGATAAATGGTTCACCCTACATTAAGGTTCACAGGTAACTAGTAACTTTGATTTTTCCCCCCAAAATAAAGTTTAATAATTTAATCTTGATAAACAAAAGATATCAGTTTTATACATTGCTGTGGATAGGCATCATGGACTTTTGCAGGACATCATGGGTAAGATACTGTAACGAATTCAGTCCACTACCCACAAAAGTCCTCCACATAATCCTCAATGGAGCGATTACCTTGATGGAGGCGAACTAGGCGATCTGCTGGGTTCATTTTGGCTGGACGTGTATTCTGTAACGAATTCAGTCCACTGAAGGCAAGCGTAGTGAAGAACCCATGTGCAGTTTATTCAAACAAGGTGAAATCCAAAATGCAAACATAATCCCATGAACATGAAACAAAACCCAAACACCAAACCCCACATTACAGATACAGAGTACCTTATGGTAAGCAACAAAAAAATGACATGAGTCATGAGATATAAATGAGAAAACCACAAATTCAACACCCTTCAGTCTTGCTATAATAGTCTATTTGTGGTGTAATAAATCAGGAATCTGTTTTTGAGATAAATAATGAACAAATAGGTTTATTAAGCTTCTATAACGTGATTTAAAAAATGGCTCACTTTTTGGCAGGTATTGCGCTAAAATTACTCTTTTTATTCACGCATTTATTACTGCTTATCAATGATTTATACTGCATTTGTAAATGAGTTATTAGTCATTCATGAACATCTTTACAAACCATTTAAAAATGGAACCTTAATTTTAATTGTTACCAAAAAAAGTTTCCGGGTTCATTTCTGGATTCACTGGAAATGGAAGATCATGTTGAGGGTGCTGCATGTTTGGGATACAATGTTCCGCAAAGCTTGCACAAGTTATGATCTGCGCATTTTATCAAATGTAGAAGGTCATCTAGTATTTCACATAATAATTTACAATAAAACTATTATCTTTTAGGTTATTCATTCAATAATATAATTATTAAAAATATATTTATTTATATAAATCAAGAATAATCAAAATTGTTGATTATTACTGTTATAAAGTCATGTTGTTATTTGTTAGTTCATGATACCTAATGCACTGACGAATGTATAGAACCTTATTGTGAAATGTTTAGTAAATATTCATATTGTTTTTCATAGACCATATATCTGAAAGGTAGACTTTATAAAAGCTCTCTCTTTCTCTCTTTGCAGGCCATAGTGAGTGCAAATAAAGATGTCCGATAGTGTTGATATTGAAGAAAAGCCACCTGCCCCCCCTTTAAGAATGAACAGTAGTTCCCGTGACCCTTCCTCAGTACACAGTTCAAAACCACTTCCAATGGCTCCAGAGGAGAAGAACAAGAAAGCCCGTCTCAGGTCCATCTTTCCCGGGGGAGACAAAAGTATGTGCACCCAGTTGCCCTACACGGAATCTGTACACTTTCACATTTTCTGTGCTCAGTCTAGGGAAAATATGTGGAATGCGTTTAAATATGGTAAAATGTGTTTAACAGATCTAAACGTACTGCTATTGTATGACCTCAGAAGACTTGGAATATACAGTATAGTATAGCTTTTAATGTTTGTAATTTATGCAACTTAACAGCCTTAGTTCCCAGTCATTATTATTTAATAGTAGAAACAGACTGGATATTTTGTGAATTTTTTTTTATTTGTGTATGGATTAAAGAAAAACATGGGTTTGAAGGGGGAGTAATTTTTGTTTGTTTGTTTGTTTTTTGGCTGAACTGTTCCTTTAACTAGTTTCACCAACAAGATCTCTTTTTAGCCAGTTTTACCAGAAATTGTATGCTGCGTATCTATAGGTAGAGTTACTAGTTCTTGTTATTCTGGTCCTCCAAACCAGCAATTACTAGCATAATCTACACTGGTCTAAGCAAACCAGCAGAGTTGCCAAAGGGCTGTATTGTACCATTCAAACTGAATTCCGTTTTGATGGGCTGATCTAAAAGTGTTAAAGTGTGTTTGTTCCTCTATTCAACAGCCAATAAAAAGAAAGAGAAAGAGCGTCCAGAGATATCCCTGCCGTCTGATTTTGAGCACACCATCCATGTAGGCTTTGATGCAGTAACGGGGGAATTCACTGTGAGTTTACCCAGTCTCAGGTGTTTTGGGTTTTGTGTGTTTGTTTAAGAGTCATTGTTATCTGTGATGTATGTTTCATGTGGATGATATCGTTTTATAACAGTTGGCATGTGTGTGTGTGTGTGTGTGTGTGTGTGTGTGTGCGCATGCGTGCGTGCGTGTGTATGTACTGACATGTTAGATATTAGCATTAGTAATGAAAATAAGCAACCATAAGGAAGATATTTAGAACAGTGCCATAACGGTAACTAGGGCTGGGAGATGTGGCCAAAATTATTATTATTATTATTATTATTACTACTAGGGATGCACCGATACCACTTTTTCCAGTACTCGCCCGATACCGATACTTTTAGTTTTGGTACCTGCCGATACCGATATTTTTATTGCATTTGTACATGCCGCCGCGCGCTCAATCCACTCAGCGTGCTTTGTTTATCCGCTCGCGTACATCAGCTATACAGTCAATACTGAATGTTTCACATTATATTCATTGCATACATATACTTCGTAGTAGACATCCTTATCTCCTTTCTGCTGTCTGTTGTTCTGTTGTCGGTGTTTCTTTGTTTGAATATGGCGCTTATCACATGCTGTGTGGTATCGGCGTTTGGTATGGGGGCATTTTAACGAGTATGAGTACAGGAGACCAGTATCGGACCTAATTACTACCCATATTATACAATGTAGATTTTTATCACAATATGTATTTACCTTTAATGGGGAAGGAAATGCTTTGCACATGTTTGTTAGACCTTGAGAATGAGTGTAAACATAACTTGTTTGTTTACAGTTAAACTCCACAGAGTAAGTTGCGAATTTAGGGCCCCATGAAATCGATTTTATTTGTCCCTAAATTCTGTTTTCCATTTATTTTATTTTTTTCTGAATTCTGTGTTTTATAATTTAATATAAATGTATCATCCAAAAAAAAAAAAGTGTTCAATGAAATGAATTAATAAATTTTAATTTTAATAAATTTCAATTTAATCAATCTTTTAAAATTGTAATTAAATGAAAATATCACAGTTAATTTACAAAACATTTCATTTTGTTAGTTAGTTATTCAGTCATATATATATATATATATATT